TCACTGCAGTCTCGAACCCCTCAAGCAATCTCCCACCTCAGCCTCTGCAGTAGCTGGAACGACAAGTATGTGCCACCACATCTGGCTAATTTTTTGATTTTTATTTTGTAGAGACGAGTTCTCGCTATGTTGCCCAGGCTGGTCTTGAACTCCTGAACTCAAGTGATCCTCCTGTCTCAGCCTCCCAAAGTGCTGAGATTGCAGGCATGCACCACCGCACCTTGCCTGCATTAACATTTTACATGTGAATTGTAAAGGTAGATGTTGAATATATGTATTTGGTTGGGTGAGAAAATTCTAAGCATGACTCAACGGTCAGAAAAAGTACTCCATGAATCTTTTTCCCGTTCACAGTGGTTGGTCACTATTCTTAAAATATTATACTAACCCACTGAACCATTACTTTATGTTTCATGATCCACTAGTTGGAAACATTTTTTTGCCTTCGAACCTTTCTCTCATAAAAAACTTATATATTTAGAAGATTTTTCCAATAATGGGCTCAAATTTACCATAAATATCACTTTTTCTCCCATGAAAATATAGGTCACATTTTAGGTATCAGGAGACTTTCGGTCCTAAGAAGTTACAATTTGAAATTAAACTTACCTAGTTTTTAAAAACTCCTAAGCTAGCAGGATATAAATAATGTGCTGGGTTCATAGCCGCTTCAAAATTTTGAATTCTGCAGATGACTTTCCCTCAGCAGCATGTTTTGCTTGCTTCAGGCATTTTGCAAATACAATACTTTTAGAACACAGCTTTCTACCTCCCCCATGGAATGATTTGAGAACCACCTTTATAGTTTGTCATTTTATTGTTTAGACTTGAAATGGATTCATCTGTCTGTCACTAATCAAGCCTTTAACTAATAATATAATTATGGCCATTTATGCATGTACTTTTTATGACACTCCAAGCTTCACAAACTCCTTCTTAGGAATTAGTGTAAAAGAAAGAGGTGAAAATTCCTCCCATTTCCCTCCAGTAGCTGTGTGCCTTCTGGAAAACATGCGCTATAATGTGTGTCTCTAAATTATGCTGAGTGCACTGTCCAGAAAAGAGTCAGCTTCTCTGGAAAAAAAGTTAGCCAAGATCCCTCTCTAACTTTATGATGAAAAGTATCATTCCAGTTGAGAAGCACAAGTCCCATTCAAAAGGAATGAAAGTGAATTTTACAAAGATTATGTGATTGAGCTGAAGAGGAAGACAAAGTAAATTGAATTATCTTCTTGTACCCTATGTGACAGTTTCTTTGAAAGTTTTAGGGCTATGAATATGACTTTCCTAATTAAGCAACCTATTTCAATTTTTTTTTTCTTTTGAGGTAAGGTCTCGCTCTGTCATCCGGGCTGGAGTGCAGTGGTACAAACACAACTCACTGCGGCCTTGACCATCCCAGGTGATCCTCCCCCAAAGCTGGGATTACAGGTGCACACTACCATGCATGGCCTATTTTAAAAATTTTTTATAGAGACAGGGTTTTGCTATATTGGCCAAGCCGGTCTCAAATTCCTGGCCTCAAGTGGCCCTCCTGCTTTAGCCTCCCCGAAGTGCTGGGATGAGCCACCACACGGAGCCAGTCTTTTAATTTTTACTTAGTAATTGCTTACGTTTTCAAACAAATGTGAAAACCTAAGTCTTTCATGCTGTACACTGGTCTCTTCCTGAATGTGGTTTGGCTCAGAGCCCAGCATCCTTGGCATTGAGTGGTTGCTCCTTAAATATTTACAGTCCTGAATACTTTTCTTGTCCTCAGGCTCACTCTTTTGCCGTTTGGAGCATTTGGAAGTGAATAATGTCTCTCTTAGTCTAGTCTGAGGCTTTTGTGGAGAGTTTCTGCCCTGTGATGCTGGACACGCCTGTTGTATTTCCCCTCCTGGGAAGTACGAAGGAGGGGAGAGGCAGGGTGGTGAATTCACACCATGCCAGCCCGTGTTCATTGAGGGCCTCCTGCCTGCAGGCCATGGAGCTGGGTCCAGTGAAGGGCTTAGATTCTGGGAGGCCAGGCTCCTGCAGGGACAAAGCCTAGAGTCCACTGGGGCTGCTGAGCAAAAGGGTGAAAATTAAAAAGTGTAAGAGCTAATGTAATTCAAGGCAATAAGAAAAGCCCTATTGTCCATTTTCACAATCGCCATAGTAATTTTCACAATTTTTACAAATTTCTCTCTCTTCATTTCATTATTTTAAGGGTGATGTGGACAGGAAAGCTTTTCAGAGGTTTTGGTTGGACTCAGGTCTGGAAGGCTGGGACCGCGCTGGGAGAGGCAAAAGTGATGTTGAGGGGCGTCCAGGAAACAGTGCACCCTGAGCCACGGGTCACAGATAACGCAGCCCGTAGCTTGCGCAGGACTGGGCAAACCAGCTCTGGTAGGTTCTGGGCTTCAGCAAGTGGATGAGTGGCTGAAAAATCAGCTGGTCTGGAGATGGAAGTCTAGGATTAGGGAGTGTCAGTGGCTTTATTTTTATTCAGTCAACAACTATGCTTTGGACACAGCTGTCTGCCAGGCCCTTTACTGAGCTTTTCCATACAAGAGTAGACAGAGTTGGCATCATCCCTGTTCCCAGGTACAGGCAGCTAGAGCAGGGACATAAGTGAGTAAACCTGCAGTGACATGACCAACGTGTCAAAGGACCAGGGACACAAGAGAGGGGCTCCCCAAGACAGCTGAGCCAGATTCCAGGGGCGACAGGAAGCGGGGCGGCTTGAGCGGCTCATGGACAGCTTTCCCAGACAGAGAGGGCAGCACTCAGGCCCTGCAGCATAGAAGCAGGCTGCAGCTGAGGGTCTGAAGGACTCAGGGTGGCTGGGGGGAGAGTGCCAGCAAGGTGGTGACAACACTAGAGCGTACAGCGGGGGGAGAGAGTGGGATCGTGACAAATGGACCCAACAGAGGTGTCCAGGCAGGGGCTGGACCACTGACAGCGAGGAAGAGGCTGTGGAAAACACCCCTGAATGAAAAACCGTGCAATGCATATGACCATTTGTGTCAATGGTGCATCTTTTCTGCTGTTTCCACTCTCTAGAAACTCCTTTATTACAGAACAATTGAGAAGAACACAAAGCCAACATCCCTCCAAGATGACTCACATTCTACCCACTGCTTACTCTGTTAGTAATGCTGACGTTTTTTACACAGAATATTGAACATCTGCTCTGAAAACCTTGCCTTTGTGCCTGCCATCAGGTACAGGAATGGTGCTGGAGCCGTGGGAGATGACCAACCCTGAGTCCTCATTCTGAGCCCATGATGGGAAGCACCCCGGGGCTGGATTCCGGCCATCCATTGCTGGCTACGTGCCCTGCACCCACCACATGGGGAGAACCACAGATAGAGTCATTGAATAACTGAATATGAAACGCACAAGGAGATGAATTTAACCATCTAAGAATCAAGAGGGAGCTGGACACAAAGACAGCAAAATTTTTGAGAGTGTTGAAATGTTTTTTTTTTCCTCTTGTTTCTGGACATCTCGAGGTCAGAATATCCAATGCTCTCAAGGATTTTTATGATAAAAAGCAATCACCTTGTTAGTGGCTGTGTTTACAGCTGGCCAGACCGAGGTAGTAAACAGCACTCCATTTATTAGCGTAGGGGCTGCAAAACTGAGCACAAGCTGGGACCACCCTGCGTGGACTGGGCCATGGTGAGAGAGAGGCAGAGGGGCATGGTGCGTGGGAGACACGTTCTTGGTGTAAAGGACTCTTGAGGATGGTATTAGAACTTCCCATTCCTGTTGCATCAAGACTTCAAGAAAAGAAGCGAAACAGAGCCTCCCATTTGTTCTCCAGCGCTGTCTGTCTGTCATCTTGGTCAGAGGCCCACACAGCCGACCTCACCACGTGGCTTGCAGGGCCTCCCTGGTATTCCATTGGGCAATGACATGGAATTTGGTCTGACACTACTATATCCAGCAGAATCTTCAGGGCCACGTGCGGTTTCACCATGTCTCCCCTTCCTTTGCCACGTGACTGAGATGGGTGCTACTCCAGCCTGAGTGCCCAAACATGGGAGCCAAGATGTGGCGTAGCCTGGGAGGAGAGCTGCCACCAATGTTCCTATGCTGTTCCTATGAACCTCTGAGGTCCTGGGGCTGTGTGTTACTGCATCATAAATAAGCAAGAGCTAACTAATAAAGAGATTAACATTTAAACCTTAGAAAACATAGAGTGGGCTGAACAAAGCACGCCCTGGGCCGGCATGCTCTTTCATGCATCACGACCACTTCCCATGTTCCAGAGAGGTGCATGGGATCTTCTGCAATGCCAGGCAGGCTGCCCCTTTCCTTTCCTTTTTCCTTTCCTTCCCCTCCCCTCCCCTTACCTTGCCTCTCCCTGCCCTGCCCTGCTTTGCCTCTCTTTTTCAAGGCAGGGCCTTGCTCTGTTGCCCAGGCTGAAGTGCGGTGATGCCATCATAACTCACCACAGCCTCGCCCTCCAGTGCCCAAATGCTTCTCCCAGTGCAGATGGCTAAGTACCTGGGAATGTAGCGTGCACCACTACACCTAATTTTTTTAAAAATAGAGATGGGTTCTTCCTATGTTGCCAGTCTGGTCTCTAGCTTCTGGGCAACATAGCAAGACCCCATCTCTATAAAAAAAAAAAAAAAAAAAAAAAGGAGGCTGGATATGGTGGCCCATGCCTGTAATCCCAACACTTTGGGAGGCTGAGGTAGGGAGATCACCTGAGGTCAGGAGTTTTCGACCAGCCTGGTCAACATGGTAAAACTCTGCCTCTACTAAAAATACAAAAAAAATTAGCCAGCATGGTGATGCACACCCGTAATCCCAGCTACTCAGAAGGCTGAGGCAGGAGAATCACTTGAACCCTGCCTCAGCCTCCTGAGGCAGCGGTTGCAGTGAGCTGAGATTGCTTCACTGCACTCGAGCCTGGGTGACAGAGTGAGACTCTGTTTCAAAAAACCAAAAACAAAACAAAAAAAGAAAAAAGTGACCCTCCGCCACAGCCTCTGTGCCTGGCCTAAGGCATGTTGCCAAGACAGGTGGTGACAGTATGCACTGTGCTTTCCCAGGCGTCTGCAGGGAGAAGTAGTGCGCCGCGGACAGCCTCCAGCAGTCACACACCTCCTGCAAACCCCTTTGTGTAGGTGCCTGTGTTCTCCTGGCCTCCCTCCTTTGAATACCGACATCTTGAACTGCAATTGCAAACCAGAGTCCGGATCCAGGGTTGAGGTCCTCAAATACTCCCATAGAAGAGCCCATGCTCTCCCAGCTACATGGAGGCATTTCACAGCTAAAACCACTCTTCCAATTCAAAGAAGTAAACAACAGCCGTGAATAATGACCTCTCCTGTATTTTTCCCTAAACAGCGGTTTTGTGGTCATGTCTTTGTTGGTACTGAATCACTTTTCACAATGGATGATTATGCAAGTGAGGAAAACCTTGGAAGTGGATTCCCTGGTCACTCACTCATGTTCAGGGCTGCCGCCATGTTTGGAATGCATGTGTCCGGTGCTTCTCCCACCCCTGCCTGCCCCGGCCTTTGTGCTGCTGTGGCCTTTGTGATTTTAGCCAGCATATGTGTAATGGCTAACATTCAGAAAGAAGCGACTATCATTCAGAGGGAAAGTAAAATTACAAGCAGCACTTTTCTCAACAAACAGCTCACTGTGACCTAGTGAGGGCACCAGCCGTCACCTACGCCTGTCCTTCTGGTGGCACAGAATTCACTGGAAAGGTCTCGGCCAGTCAGGCTCTGTGTCCAGCCTCTGTCTTGTCTCTAAGGGCGGCCTGCGCCTCCCGGGCTGCCTGGCAGGGCCTGTGAGGCCTCCCTGTCATGAGAAAAGAATCCACAGGTCTGTAAACTTGCTATTTTTAGGCCTCAGTGGACTTGCGCCAGTTTCCGGAGTGTAGTAATTACCCAAATATTTCATTGAACAGGGCCGTGAAAACTTATAACACACACCTCAAACCTATTCAGAAATTTGAAAGGGTTTAAAATGCCATCAGTGAATTCTCATAGACAAATGGCAATCCCACTTCCCCATCCGCCTCCCGCCCCCACCCCGCAAACCCTCAGGCTGCTCCCACCCTGCTTCTCTGAGATTTCCACACCCGTCCCCGCCCGCCCGGGTGAGCTCACCCCATGCAGCTCTGCTACATGCCAGCCAGGCAGGGCTTGCTCCCTGACGGCCCTTTCCAGACCAGCTTCTCTTCTAAATGCAAGTCTCTGTGTCCAGCTCTCTCCTGGGGATGTATGAGGGATGTCTTCAATTTAGCATTTCCTAAAGAGGAGTGCTTCCTGTCCCACCCAGTATTCCCCATCTCAGGAAATAAGACTTTCATCCATGGCTGAGGCCACTGACCCAATGCTTTGCTCACTCTTCGCCCCCCTCCCTACTCGGTCCCCATGGCAGGCTCTACTTCAAAATCCATGCTGCATCCAAATCCACGCTGCACCCCCATTTAACCCCCGCCTCCCAAATCTCCTTCTGCGGGACTGCCATAGCCTCCTAACTGGGCTCTTGTCCCGATGTGTCCCTGCCCAGTACTGTTCCACAGGGCATGCAAGAGTATGTCAATTTGACCTTGATCACCTGACTCAAAAATCTCCAGGTCTTCACCTTCCTACCAAGGGGGAAGGAAAGCCTGGCCTGCGATGAAGGCGCACAAGTCTATGGTTTCCTTTCTGAGGCCCGCGAGGCTCCGCTTGCCTCTGGTTTTTGTGTCATGTATAGAAGGTATGACCAAGTGCATAGGTTTGCAATTATCGGGACTAGCGATGCCCCCAGCCTACCCTCAATGTCCAGGCTCAAACAATAGAACAAAACAGACACCCAGAGGGTTTGGCAGGGAATAGAGAATGATTAGAGAAATAGAAAAATTAATTAGCTCATTAGAGCTGGGAGCAGGACAGCCATTGTCTTCTATTAATGGAGAAGTTGGAGCCCGAACCAAGAACAGAAAGCATGGAGCAGAAGTCACTGACTGCCTCCTCCCCTCAATTAGAGGACGCAACAAGAGAAGGAGAAGATTTAAAGAAAATTTCAGCTTCTTTAAGAATCAAGGAGAAATAACAGTGGGCAGGTGGCATAAGCAGAATAGGTCTGCTGCGCCGGTCACTCTCGTAAGCACCTCATGGACATGGCTGCTTTTCATCTTCACACAGTCCCAAGTATGAGTTATCACAATTTGTCTCCATTCTGAGACCAGCAAGGTTAATCAGTGTGCCTGAGGCCACACAGCCAGGAAATGGCAGATGACGGTAAAGTCAGTTAAATTGGTTCTACAGCCCCTGTTCTTAAAAAAAAACAGAAATCTAAATTTGAGAATGAGTTGTACACCCTGTTGAAAGACTCTTATAAGAGAAAATCCAGCAAACTTCCCCTGAGATGGATGGTCTGGGTTTATTTTCATTTCCTAGAACTGTTTATCTGTGCGGAGCCATGTTTAGTAACCCCTTGCCCTTGGTGCCAGTGAGGCTTGGTGCTGGGCTGCCAGTGACCTCAGTTAGGGGCATGGCAAACTTGGTGACTTGAGCTGCAGGAAGTGTCTGGGGTGGCGGTGCCTGCAGTCTGGTGTGTTGTCATGTAACACACAGGAAGGCTTCTGGTTGTTGATTTAGGCCCAAGGTAGGGAGTCAGGAGAAAGAAAGGAAGAGGTCTTTATCAGATGAGAAAGGAATATTGAAAAGGGAGGATTTTTCTGTTTCACTTTCACATTACTTAACCTTTTACATTGTAAATTATATTCATTTTAAAAAAATAAAGAAAAAGGAAACATTTCTCCAACACATGGAATGCAGGTCACACGTTAAAACGGGCAGTGAGTGTTAAGCTACACACTGATTTTTAAATGAAGGCATCATCTTACTTGCTCAGGCAGTGGCTGCTGTATTCACCATCTAAGGCATCCTGTTCCAAACTCCTTGGTGGAAACCTGGAAGCTCTCTGGTTTTTCCTTTCTCTGTCCTCCACGGTGAATCAGTTATAGAGCCCTGATGATTTACCTCCTAAACATGTTATGGTAAAGTCAGTGCGGTGCGCTTGCCAGATCCAGCTCCTTTTTGTCCTGGGCTCTCAGCAGGGCTATACATTCCAGCCTCCCCCAGGTTAGATGGGGCCACATGTCTGAGTTCTGGTCAGCAAGATAGGCATGTGAGTGATGTGCTGGCCACCCCCCCAGGCCTGAACCCTAATCCTCCAGCAGGATGCTCCATCCTATTTCTTCCCTTCACCCCTTTGCTGACCCTCTGCAGAAAACTAGCTGAAAACTCCAGGGCCTAAGGGAATGGCAGAACTTTTGCATGAAAGAGCCAGGATCCCTGAATGACTGTCTGAGGCAGAGTTCTCCTTCCCCATACCCTAGGCCCCATGGCAGGCCCACAGTGGACTGGGAAGTGAATAAGAACTAAACTCCTAACACATCATGCCACTCTGATTTGACATTGTTTCTTATAGCAACTATAATGACTGATCCTAATTTATTTTCTCCTAAATAATTTTTTCCACACCTAACACTGTCCATACCATTACTGATTTTACATTACTCTCAACCAGCCATTCCCCCAACCTTTATCTCCATCTTCAATCTTGCCCTCTCATAATTCCATCTGTTAAGACAAAGTGAACTTTTCTTAAAACGCATGTCAGACCATACCTCTTCGGGGTACAGCTTTTACTGGCACCCGCAAAAGTGCTGTCACATGGCACACTCTACCTGTGCCTGGCCTTGGTCCACAGCCTCACATTCGATTTCTGCTGTCATGCATGGGCCCTGGCCACTGAGAGCTCAGGGCATTTCTGTACTCAGGGCTGCTTCTCTGGCCGATCCTCATCCTGGAACGTCCTTCCTCTGTTAGGCTAATTCTCTGCATCTTCTAGGATCAGTCTGGCAACACCTCTGGGTCCCCTTCCTCTGTCTCCCACTAGTACCCTGCACACATGTGTACATCACACATGCGCTGAGAGCTTCTTTGGGCCCTCACTCAGAGACCGAATTTGTCATCTGTGTGTGCTTGACCCTGGGACCCAGCAACTACCCCCAGTCTTGACAGTCCAAAGTGTCTCCAGATATTGCCACATGTCCCCTGGGGGAGACAGTCAGCTCTGGTTGACAACCCTGCTCCAGAGTGGTTGGGAAGAAGAGGCTATTTCTTGTGGGTTGCACTCTCTTGGTGGGGATACTCTATTCAAGGTCGAAAACTGAATTTCATCAGAACATTGAAGCCTCTGTAGTAGGCCAGAAAGTATCCTTCCAAAATTCACATTCACCCAGAACCTCAGAAAAAGACCTTATTGGAAACAGGGTCTTTGCAGGCTCTCAGAACCAGACTTGTATAGACTGAATTTAGAAGAGACTGCAGGCGGCAGACATTGGCTCTATATGAGACCCACTTCCTGCTTCTTTACTAACAGACCCAGTTCCTTTCAACATAAGACCAGCACAAACAGTGGCTCATGATTGGTTTAGGTCATTCATGATCATTTTGTGTCTCATCCTGTGTCTCAATTTCTCAGACTCTCTTGCACTCGGAGTGGCCTTAAAACCAGCTCTAGTCAACAAGATTTGAGGACAAATCTAACGCAAGGTTTCTTGGAAAAAGTTTGCTTTTCTGATACAAAGGGTCACAGATAGAAGGTCACTGTCCTTCTCCCCCCACCTCCTTTCTGTGGACATGAGGGTTGGAGCCACAGCAGCCATTAGGTAAAGGCCAGGGGAATGTCAGACAGGTCAGCTCGGACATCCTGGGGCACTGGGCCACCATGCCAATGGCTCTCTCTTGCTGGATTTCTTATTATGGGAGCAAAATAACTTTTCTGTTTTATTGAAGCCTCTGTAGTACATTGGACATTATGCAACCTGCTAGTGTCCACCCAGAACCTCAGAACAAAACCTTATTTGGAAATAGGGTCTTTGCAGGTGTAATTAGCTAAGAATCTTCAGATGAAATAATCCTGGATTTAGAATAGGCCCCAAATCCAATGACTGGTGTCCTTATAAGAAGAGAAGGCATAGAGAGATACACAGGGGAGGATGTCATGTGATAACAGAGGTAGAGGTTAGCATAATTCACCCCCCATTCTCCCCCTTCTACTGCCCCATTCACCTTGCAATGTGATGCGGCTCTTTCCGTCAAGAGGTGGAGGCTTCTTTCTCACCCCCTGACTTGTCAAGGCCTTGCCACTTGCTTTGGCTCATAGAATGGTAAGGAAGTGATAGCATGTCAGTTCTGAGCCTTGTGCGTGTCTGCTTGCATTCTTGTTCTCAGCTACCTGAGAACAAGCCTGGGTCAGCCTGTTGGATAACAAGAGACTCATGGCCCTGTCAACTCTGGTGCCCCAGCTGCCAGCTAGGCTACTCTAGCCCAGCGAGCCTTCACCTGATGGGCCAGCTGAGTGCAGCAAGATCAGCTGTGTTTGGCCCAGAGCAGCAAAACCACTTAGTTGATTTGTAGACTTGTGAGCAATACCAAACACTTATTTTAAGTCTTGAGCTTGGTGTGGTTTCTTGCCCAGCAGTAGCTCACTAATACATACACACTTTGTTTTAGTTACTCATTTGGCACCTGTGAGCAATTGAATTTGGGAACTCTGATTTAGGTAGAGGTTTTCAAACTTCACTGTGTTTTAGAATTTCTCAGAAAATTTACTTAAAATAGAGATTCCTGGGCTTGCTCCTGGAGAGTTTCAGTAGATTGGGTGAGCTCCAGGTATCTGCATTTTAACCAGCATTGCTAATTCTGGCATGGGTAGCCCATGGAATACACTTTGTAAGCCATTTTTTCCCACAGGAACAAATCACTAAAAACTTGTGTCATCTCTAATATTACTCTTCCTCCAACACCAGAGACATAGAAGAGTGGGTTTTGGCCCAAAAGGGGAATGGGAACTTGATAAAGAGAAAGATCCTCCTTGCCCAGCATCTCAAAAACTGCATTTTATGCTCAGTATGTTTCTTGATTGCATTAAGAAATATACTGCAGCTGGGTGCAGTGGCTCAGGCCTGTAATCCCAGCACTTTGGGAGGCTGAGGCAGGTGGCTCACTGGAGGTCAGCCTGGCCAACATGGTGAAACCTCGTCTCTACTACAAATACAAACGTTAGTAGGGTGTGGTGGTGCACACCTGTAACCCCGGCTACTCAAGGGGCTGAGGCATGAGAACAGCTTGATTCTCAGCCTGGAGGCAGAAGTTGCAGCAAGCCAGGATTGTGTCACTACATTCTAGCCTGGAAAAATTTATATATATATATACACATACACACACATACATACATACACACACACGTATATATATATATATATATATATATATATATATATACACAGCTTTTAATTTACCTAAAAATATTTATGATCACATATATAAATAACGAAACCTTGGCTTTGATTACAAAATGTTGTGTGGTGGCTGGTGAATCAAATTAAGGAGGATTAGCTAGAAGCAAACTGCAAAGACAGAGCATGAGGCAATCAAGAAAAACTTAAAATACGTAAACAATGACATCCTGTGTAACAGATCCTGGAAGCTGGACAAGGGCAACTGCCTGTGCCCATTCCCACTGGGCCAATCAATCAGCTGCCAGTCATTCTGCCAATGTTCACCCAGGACTAACGTGTCAGACAGTCCTTGAGCTGGTGCACAGCAGGGATAGGCCATTCCTATCCTCTCTTTACAGGGCTTGCATTCTAATGGCATGGGGGAGGACACAGATGATAAATGAGATAAAATGTATATGAGGTGGTATAGTGTCCCCCAAAAAGATATGTTCAAGTCCTAACCCTGGGTGCCTGCGAATGTGACCTTATTTGGAAACAAACTCTTTGCAGATGTAATCAGGTTAGGAGGAAGACACGAGGGTGGCCCTAATCCAGTGCCACTGGTGTCTTTCTGAGAAGAGACAGAGACACAGGGAAAACGCAATGGGATGATGATGCCAGGGAATGGAGCCATCCATTTTAAAGCAGTGCCTCCTAGCTGGTTTCCCACATTCCACACAGCTGCATCTACAAGCCAAGGACAGACACAAGGAAAACATCATGTGATGATGTGCCAGAGAGTGGGGTGATGCACCAACAAGCCAAGGAATACCACGGTTTGCCAGCAACACCGAAAGCTGAGAGGAAAGCATGGGACAGACTCTCCCTTACAGCCTTCAGAGAACACATGGCCTTCCTGACAATTTGATTTTGGACTTCCAGCCTCTAGGACTGTGAGAGCGTGCGTTTGTTGTTTTAAGCCACCCAGTTTGTGATATTTTGTTATGCAGCTCCAGGAAACTAATGGAGATGAGTGCTAAGAGAAAAAGCAAACAGGGAAGGGGAACAGGGGGTGCTGAGGGTTATGTGTGCCTTTTAAAGAGCCCCTTGGACATCCTCACTAAGATGGGGAAGGGGGAGCGCATGCCAGGCAGATGGAACAGCACGTGCAAAGGCCCTGAGGCAAGAGTGTGTCAGCTGTGCGTTTGGCTGGTACAGTTTGGGTTAGGGAAAGCGCTGGGAGGTGAGGTTGAGGGAAAAGGGGGAAGGACCAGGAGATAAGGGACTTGCAGGTCATAGTAAGGTTGTTCCATTTTGCTGAGTGAGAAAGGAAGCCACTGGAGGGTTTTGAGCAGAAGAGTGGCATGAGTTTTTCTTTTTTAAAGTTTTAGGATACATGTGTAGGACATGCAAGTTTGTTACATAGGTAAACGTGTGCCATGGTGGTTTGCTGCACCTGTCAACCCATCACCAACGCATTAAGCCCTACATGCATTAGCTATGTATCCTGATGCTCCCCCTCCCCCCAGCCCCCCCCCACAGATCCCAGTGTGTGTTGTTCCCCTCCCTGTGCTTGTGTGTTCTCGTTGTTAGGCTCCCATTTATTACTGAGAACATGCAGTGTTTGGTTTTACGTTCCTGTGGTAGTTTGCTTAGGACAGTGGCTTCCAGCTCCATCCATATCCCTGCAAAGGACATGATCTCATTCCTTTTTACCGCTGCATAGTATTCTAAGAGTGGCATGAACCGATTTTTAACAGTAACATCTTTTTTCTTTTTTAAAAAGGATCACAGAAGCAGCTGCGCGGAATGTGGGACGCCATTTAGGAGGCACTGCTTTAAAAGGGGCAGGTGGAGGGAAGAGAAGTAAAGAGGGGTGGAGGGAGGAGGAGGGGCAGCAGTTGGGTTCTGGATGTTTCTGGCAGTGTAGCCAAGAGGATATGTTCATTATGGACAGACAGAGGGGCCAGGTATGACCAAAGATTTTGGACTGAGCCACTGGAAGCAAAGAGCTCCAGAATAACCGCTGTTTGACTTGTGCGTGGTTTTCCGTAGTTTACTGAATGCACGTTCTAATCCTTGTCATGATTTCCACCTGTACAATATGCAGGTATCTGAAAACGTCGGAAACATTCATTTTTATTATTAAACACCGCCACTTGCCCCAAAGCCTTTGTATGCAATACACGGACCTTGATATTTGGAGGGTCAAACGCTGAGTAATATCTACTCATCTGTGCCGGCGAGGAGGGGGCATTTCCAACTCGCCGGTAAGCAGGCCCGGTCCCGTTCTACTTAAAAGGCTTGGAGCCCGGGCGCCACTGGGCTGAAGCAGTTTCAGGGACCCCCCCCTGAGGACAGGGCGGCAGCCGCGGGGTCGCCCAGGCTCGCAGGGCACCGCGATCATCCACAACGACGCTGGCGTTTGCTTTGGACCTCACAGGATGTGTGGCTGGCGCTGCATTCCAAACAGTGCCACTGGCGACCCGGCTTCCATGGCGCTCGGGACATCCGGATGGCAAACGGCAGGCTGCGGGCGGCGAGCGGTTTCCCAGACTCCGGCCCGCTCCGTGCAGCTGGAAAAATCCAAGCCCGGGCCGCGCCGCGCCGCCCGCGGGCCGTTCCTCTCATGGCTAGTACTGCCCATTTTTCCCAGGGAATTAGCTTGGAAAATTTCACGTTACTTTTTGCCAAGAAAATCATTTCAAAAAACAAACCAAACGCCTGTAAGCAGGCTCGCTAGGGAGCAGGTCTCCGCCGCGCGTCCTTCCCGGCTCCGGAGCGGCGGAACCAGCCGCCGGGCGCTGCCCGCGGGCCTATCACCCGCGAGGTGCAGGGAGCACGTGGGCCGGCGCGCGGACCCCAGAGATCGCAGCGTGACCCGCTGCACAGCCCTTCGGCTGAAAGACCTGGGGCGGGATCTGCGACCCAGGCCCGCTCTTACGTCAGGGGGAAGGGCCCGCCAGCTGGGGAAGGGCCCGCCAGCTGGGGAAATGCCAGCGGTGGCGTCCGCGGCCCCCGCTCGGCTGCACCGAAACTTCCACCGCCGTCGGCGACGGCCGCGCCCCTGCGCACGCGCAGCGCGGCCAGGCGGCAGCAGGAGACCCCGGCCCTAGCACGCATGTCTGCACGCCCTGGTCTGCGCGCCGCGGCGGACCTTCCAGCGGCTGCCTCTTCCACCCAACCCCGGCCTAGTCTGGAAGAGCTCACGCCGCCGCCGCTCCCTCCAGCCCCTCCCAATCGCGTAGCCTCTGACGCCGTCCCCACCCAGCCGGCGCCCGACGGGGCCCCAGCGCGCAGGCGCCGTAACTTCGGCGGCGATGTCTAGGAGGATTTGAAATCGGCCGCGCGTGCGTACTGGCGACGCGGCCCGGCAAGGGAGGCCCCGCTTCCTCCAGCGCCCCCGTCCCCGCCCCCGCCCCCGCCCCTCATTGGAGCGGAGGCGGCGGCGGCCCCCTCCTTCCTCCGGGCTGTCTCCGCGGAGAGTGTCTTTTCACCGCCACCTCCGCCGCCGCCGCCGCCGCCGCCGCCGCCGCAGCGCGGAGCCAGCGGCGCGAGCGTGACTGAGGGCTGCGCGCACGGGCGGCGGCACCTCCCGCGGATCCCTCAGCAGCGCGGCGCCTGGGCCCGCCCCCTCGGCCCCGCCGCCCGCCCCTCTCCGATGGCCTCTCCCCACGGCCCGAGTGGAACGCCGCCGCCGCCGCGGCCCCCGCGCCCGCCCCGCGCCGCGTGAAGCGGGAGCCCGGAGACCGCAGCCGCCTGCCGGGACGCGCCAAGCGCCGGAGCCGCCCGCCGCGGCCTGCCCGGGCCCATCACCGCCGCCGCCGCCCCACGCCGGAGCCCGACGGGAGCGCGGCGCGAGCAGGAGGCCCGGGCTCGGCCCGCCCGCCGCCGCCGGCCC